TCTTACTCTAAATAGGAGAACTCTTGATATCTCTGTGAATTGATGGAACGTAGCAAAGTGTTTTTTGCTGATCATGCTGTTCAGTTCTGTCTATTTTATTCTTCTGGTGCAAGCATTTAATCTTAATGTATTGCATGCATATGTTTGCAGAAGAAGCACTTTGAACAATTACAGTTAAATGATCATTTAATGGGGGAGATATCAGAACTCAAACATGAAGCGGTGGTAATTCGAGAAATACCTCAAAGACTACGTGAATCTATGGCTATTTGCAGAGACACTTACAAAGATGTTCTGTTTACGTTGCAGGTGACGCTCTGCATTTATATGCCTCTGTCAGTTCATATTTACCGATAGCATTAGATTAGTAAAATGTAATTTCTACTTTGACATCTAAACAGAATTTTGTACCTGATGGAGACTCTTCAATTGGAAAATTCCTATCTACCACAAGTGAAATTGGCTTAACCCTTTTCTCAAATTTGGAAAAGCGTTGCTCTATGTCAATGGATGATCACAAATCTTTTAATGAGAATGATTCTCTGGTCCAAGAAAACTGCGAAGTGCTTTCTGAAAGATTGAAAAGCACAATTACATCCCTGGCATTAGCAGAAAAACTAGCTGTTCAGAATAAAGAAGAGAAGAATTCAGTATGCGGCTCCACTTATAAGGTAGCTGCCTGGTCACAATCATCAAGATATCGTTTATCAATCATGATTTTATTTTTCATCCTGATGTTTGGATATATTGTTCCCTCTTTCAGAATTTCTATCATTTAAACTGTTGCTTGTTTAGCTATTTAATTATATGACAATACAATCCAAAATAAACATAGAATTGTATTTGGGTTGATCTTCATGTCATGGCAGTATGGATGATATTAGAGACATTCCAATAACCATTTAAATAACTCAAAACTTGTCCTTTTCTAGTTCTGAAAATTCTTTCGATGTGCATTTGAATGCTAAGTGTGAACTTGCCAGTCTCTGACCAAAAGAAGAAGATTCATATCTAAATCTGATGTGTTCGTTTATCTTGCCTCTAAGCCTGTCTTTTACTCTTCCGACGATATCCTAGGTGCTGCCTGCATTTTAAGATATATATATACACGTGGGGAGTTTATACATGTAGAGAGTTATGTTCCATAGATCTTATGTGTAATTCTTACTTGTACAGTGAATCAGTTCTGTTTTTTCTGTGAAGTCCACATGATGCATGTTGTCAAGTTCCAAGGTGTGGCAATAATGATCCTTAAACCATGTTTAGTGTATGCTACTTTACAATGAAAGAACTGCATGTGTATCAAATCATACATCATTCAGGTCACATTACATTGTTTGAAGGTTTAGTTTTGAAATGTGATAAAGGAATGCACTCTGGGAGAAGAACCTGCTTCTTGGAAGGAGGGACTGGGCACTGAACTTAGTGCTATCAAGGAAAAACTCCAAGCCTTGGAGAGAGAGTTAGAACATAATAACCAGCTTCTGAAGGATTCAAGAGAAAGACATGATACCATGGAAAGAGATTATTGGCTTTTGAAAGAAGAAAGAGATTCTTTGCTTGAAAAAGTCTCCGAGTCATCTCAAAACCTAGCAACGGTTGCCCTTCAAAAGGAAAACATTTTGAAGGATTTAAACATTGAAGTAGAGAGAAGGGAACATCTCGAGAAAGAGATCAAACAATTCAGTGTTGCTTTTGCCAGTCGGCAGAGATCCTTCCTGTCTTTCCAAGGTGAATTTCTATCTAAAGTTGAGAAATTGAGAGCCCAAAGTCCAATTGCAGCATCCGAATCTCTTGGGTGTTGAAAATTCAGTTTCGACTGCTTGTTAGTTTATTCTGTATTTCACATGGTTTTCTGTTCATGTTGCTTCCCATTTACTTGCGTAGATTTCTGTCTGTAATTCTACATATGATCTTTTGAGTTTGGATGTCCTAAGGAACTAAATCATGCAGTTGCGAGAGACATTTACTCAGTTAACCCTTGTTACAAGGCCTAGCTTGGCATGGCGGGTCAACCCGGTAACCCACCATCCTGAGACTTGGTCGGGCCATAGCTAGTCGGAAAACCATGAAATAACATTGTTTGGGTTTTTTTTTTCCTTAAAAAAAGGAAGTTAAGCTTGGATTGATCAATTAACTTGTGTATCAACTTATTTAGTTCTTGGCATAGATAAAATATTTGACCTACGATTTAGGTTTTGGGCTAAGTCAACTTCTGTATCGAATTATACAATTATATATTGTAGGTTAATTGATACAGGTCCATATCTGCGTTCAGAAAATTCCATTCACCCAATTTAAAGGAAATAGCCTAGACTACTTTCTAATAAATTCCCCGTAATAATCTGAAAATGAATGCCTTGTATCAATAGATAATCTGAAATGGAGGATCGAATTATTTGTGCATAAGTATTCTATGAAAACAATGCATGTGTGAAAGTACTTGAAGATGTTGCTACTTTTAGCATGCAGCTCATGCGCAGATGAGCCGGTGGTTCCAAACTGGTGAACGAGTTCTTGATTCAAACATGCACCTGAATTGCTTCTAGCATGCAAGAACACTGTTTATACATACTAAAGAAGTGAGAATTCGTTACGTTGCAAAATGCTTGTTCACTGCCTGTATGATGCGACAGGAACAACTCAATTCGAAATCATTATATGTCGGCACAGAAAATGAAAGCATTGCTTGGCCATTCAGTCTTTCAGCTTCATGGCCACCCTCAGTCTCTTTCAGTGAGGTTGCCCTCATTGCTCATGTCCATCCCTAAGCCCTTCTATATTTATTTTCTTGTTAAAAATTTGAAGGCTGAAAATTTCAACCAAGATGCTCAATCGTTTTATCGAGCTTCATGTCTTCATTGAATCCACGTCTCACGCGTGTAAATGTCAAGCAGATATGCCAAAAATTAACCTCGTTAGGTAGCCAAGAAAATGAGAGCAAATTCTCCCTCTAAAAAGTCCCAGTCACATTAAGAGCCTTGGTTAAAAAAGCAAAGATACCAGGCTCCAAAGCATGAGAGAGAGTCCATGAGCAGTTTGCTTTTGGGATTATTGAATAGATTGTGATGGGTGCAAGGCCCGCAAATCCCATCGACTTTAATAGTATTTCCACAGTTTGGGCCCCAATGAGCCCACGATTGAAAGTTGATGATGATGCCAAGAAAATTATTACACGCTTATATCTTTCCAGCTTCTAAATTCGGGATTAACTTTATTAGTATTTCCATGGTTCGGGCCCCACTGAGCCACCGATTGAAAGTTGATGATGATGCCTGAAAATCATAGCACATTTATATCTTTTCAGCTTCTAAATCCTGGATTTAAAACCCGTTTGGAAACACGGTCGCACATGTGACACAACCCGTTTGGAAATGATGCTTTTAATTTTAGAAATGCAGGTCGTTCCACCTGTCCAAACATGTTCCCAAACAATTCGGTAATTTGCTGTTAAAAACAAGAAGAATCTAAAAAGAAGCCGCCCTAAAATGAAACAAAAAGAAAAGGAAAAAAGGTGTCTTTACTTTCCATTTCCTCCCCTGAAAATAAAGCAAAGATATTGAAAATGTCCAGTCTATGGATTACATTTGGGACATGGGAGAAAATTTGCCCGCCCTGGTCTAATTGTGCATAAATACTCCAAAGATACGCACTCATGATAATTGGACTGATTGGCCAAATGGTGTTAATCGGAAAATATGCTTTCATTGCTGTTTTAAACGAAGAACATCAAAAATAATAACAGTAACACAAGCACATAAGTCGGCAATCCATTGGACACCCTCTCCAAATGGACACAATTTTGTAGGGACCATAAGCATACCTGCTTTCATAAATGCATGTCCATCACAGAGGAAGGATGGGATTGCACAAGGTCCGATGCCTGCCAATAATAACCAAAAAATGACACCGCCAGAATAGCACTCGGTTTCACAGATTGATTTGGAAAATTTCAAATTTCAAATCTGACTTTAGGTTTTCGGTTGAATTAGACAAACCATGTACCCAATCAGAACAATTTCACCTAGCCAGGTTTTTAGTGACCAACCAAACCTAGTAAAAACCCAGTTGGATCGTTGCCTTTAAAGAAAATAAAACAAAATGCTACTGATTTAATAAAAACTCATTATCCTAAATTCACCCTATGACTCGCTAGTTGCCCCAATAACTCAACAATCTATGTTCTTTTTGAACCAGTCCCGGGTCAGGTGTAACAATTATGATAGAAACCGCACGACCTAAACTTATGATTACAGGTGACCTGGAACAAAGAAGGGTGCCGCCAACAGTTAAAGCCGTAAAGCCTGGAGACGAGTTACACGATGTCTCTATCCCTAACTATCCAATACTCAAGTATCCGTTCTCACTACAATTACTACTATAATCAGGTCCCAAGCCAACTGATATGCGCTGTCTATACCATTTATTGCAATACAACACCACTATAAATCTCATCATCTTTCCAAACAGACTACACAAGCACCCCACATCTCCATCTTACCACCTCTCCAGCCCCAGGCACTTGTACACTTCTCTAATGGCTATCCCAGAAACAAAACCACCCAAGCAACTTCGAGAGCTCCTTCAAGAGCAACAGGAATCTTTCACCCTAAATATTCACCTTCTAGAAAGAGGATATTCAAGAAAAAGCTCGAATTCAGAACATACCTTCAGCTGCTGCTATGGAAATTCAAGCAAGTCCCCGAAGAGATCAGTCAGCTGTGGTCTAAACACGATCAAAAAGCCACAACTTTCAAAGGTATTAAGAGCTCTATTAAACCAGGTCATTTCCACAAAGAAGAGGCTAAGAATCAATGGTTCTAATCACGAAGATGGAAAACTGAATGTCAGCGAGAAGGGCAGGAATAACCAGCAAGTTCCAGAATTAGATAAATTTTCATCGGCTAGCAGTGCAACAGTGTTTAATTCATGTTCTGAGAGTGAAGTAGAAGAAACATCAACCTCATCGCAAAATGATATTTTGTTCACAACAAACATTCCACAGCTTCACAACCTCCACAATCCACAGGAGGTAGAAAACCTATAATTATTAGACTTAAGTTACATTTTTCACTTGTTTCTTTCCAAGGAATCAGACTTGATTCACTTACTCACAAAGCTAACAGGCTACTGCAGATAGAAAGCTCCAACAGCAGTGTATAGAAGAAAGCAGGCAACTCAGCCCGGCATCAGTACTAGAACGGATTCCTTCTCATGGAAATTCCCCAATTCACAGCAGTTAGTCACTTTATATGCCATGAACACGGAGTACACTTGTACTTTTACTGTCAGCCTTTATAAACTTTTCTTGAAAATAAATTCTTGTTCTTACAGATAAAACAGAGGATTCCAGTGCAACAGAAGAAGAGAGCGCTTCCAAAACTAGAGTTATTTTACCCAAAAAATTTACAGAAGACTGCATTTTATCAGCATCTCTCTGGAAAGTCTTTTTTTACTCACCAAATGAGAAACCAGTTTGTGGAGAAGCCACAGAGATACAAGAATTTGTCCTGTCTTATTTTTCTCCACAGTACTTGAAATCCAAAATGGTTCTGCAGCAAACAAAGCAACTTCTGTTTGATTATGTAAAGGAGATTGTTGAGACCCAAGAAAGGGAGGGGAAGCCACAATGTCATCACCAAAAATTCTTGGGGCCAGAAGAGCTTGGAAAGATAATTGGTGAGAAAATGACGTCATGGGATAAACAATCTGGCAATGAGTCAAACCTGACAAAATTGCTGAATTTGGATTTACTGAGTTCACAGGGCTGGAGTAATTATAAGCCAGAGAGAAGGGATAATGGGTTAGCAATTGAAGATACTGTTTTTGATTTACTGTATTCAGAACAAGACTGGAATGAGTATGGGCTACAGAGGAGGGAAACTGGATCAGAGATTGGAGATACTATTTTGGAAGAGCTTGTGAATGACATAGTAAGAAACATGATTGATTTCTCATCACCAATTACCAGATGTTAAGCTTAAGCTAGCTTCAAAAATTAATCAATTCCCAACTCTGACTTTCTGTCACCACTTTCCATCTCCCTGAATTCAGATATCAAACTCCACTGCCACATGTTGTTTGCTGATAAAAACAAAAAAAAAAAATGGTAGGCATTCCATTTAATGGTTTACTTTTACATCCATTTTATTCAATATAATAAAATAATGACATTTTTAAGCAGTAATCACCATCCATGAGTCTTGAACTTCTAGCATTAACCATGTATCTTTCTCTGTAAATCACAAAAACCCACTCACACTGCACATCAAGGTCAATCAGAAGGGTTGCCAAGCCATCGTATGGCTGTATGGGTACACCACACTTCCATGAGCCGACCCTAGATTACTCTAGTTCCAGTCATAGGAAAAGGAAGCAAAAGGAGTGTTCAAGGCATACAAAATTACTGACTAGTGGATACTGATGTTTCACCCACCAAAAGTAACATAAATAATTAAAAGCTAAGACATATTATGGGTATCTCTGATTATGCGTGAAAGTTGCAGTTTGTTCCACAACCACAATCTAACAATCTGTTGTAGAAATATGACAATATTCACTTTTGGTTCCTCATCTTTCACTTCCCATTTGTTCTTTATCATTTCTTATGAGTTAGGTTTTATCTTATCTCTCTTTTTTTAATAGAGAGCTTTTGAATGATCCAGTCCTTAAGTTTTGATTATAGCCAAGTTGAATTAATCATTATTCTTGAAATAAGAACAAAATTAGGACTATCCATTTCCCTTGGAAACCTTTTAGCTTGCATTTATGTTCTTCTAATTCCAATTTCCTGTTGAATTATTCCAGCCAAAGTAAAATTTATCCCCTAACCTTTTCAAGAGGAAGTCATAATCGTGGTTCCTGATACCAAAGTCAAAAGCAACACTTTACTCGTCCTATCAAATCAGCATTTCTTAAGGCCAGCCAAATTTCAGAATCTATGAAGCTCATATCATTTCCAAAACAGTACTATGCACAGTAATTTGTTGCAACAAATCAAATGCACAAGGAAAACACTGAAAACTATATCCGGCATATACCAAGGACAAGCTATGAAATGCTCATTTGTAGCTGGTGCATTTGGAGTAACAATCTCTAAAACAAGAGGAAATAAGGAACTACCGGATTTCCACATCATCACCAAGCTCCCCATCTTCAAGCTCCTCATTACTGCCATTTCTGCGGGAACCATCACGGTGATCTCTCTTGTGCTTTTTATGCTGACTTTCACCATCTGATTCAGGTGTGTATGCGTGCTGCAAAGAAATATCACCAAGAACATTGGAACATTTTTCTCAGAAGTTAAACTACAAATGCGCCACTAGAATTGTACCTTTCTAGATTTTTTACGGTCACTGTTATGCTTGCGTGATTTTTTAGACTCTTCTTTCTCATCCTTGTCAGAATTTACATCATCAATGGCACTTTGATGCCGTTTCCGGTGTTTCCTATCTTTGTCCTTTTCCCTCTTTTTGTCATCCTTGTGGCCATAACCATCACTTGCATCAACATTTTCACCATCTGTGTCATTCTTTTTTGTCCGTTGCTTTCCTTTTTCCCTCTCACGTTCTTTCTCTTTCTCTTTCTCCTTCTCCTTCCTCTCCTTCTCTTTTCTCTTGTCTTTTTCCTCTCTCTCTTTCTCCTTCCTGGCCTGTCAAAAGAGAGAGAAAAAACAAACAAATCAATAAATTAAACAGCATAACTAGCATTATTTACAGGGGGAAAGCTCAGACAGATTATCTAGGGTAGCAGCCTCCACATTCAGGTTCTTGTGCACTCTTATCTACGAGGCAAACTGAGGGGGTGTTTGAAAGTATGGTAGCAGTTTCTTTTCAAAGTGTTTTTTTGCTCGAAAATGCACCAAAATAATGTTTTTTTTATTTTAAAAAAAATACTTTTAATATCAGTTCATCAAAATGATCTGAAAACACAAAAAAAAAAAAATTAATGGCAGTGCATTCAGATAGAAAGTGGTTTTGACTTCCCCTTTCTGTTTCTTTTTCCGAGTGTAATTTAAGTTCCTTCTACAGGCAACCCTTCTCTTGTCAAATATGCTGAAAGGTCAATCAAAAGAATAAATTTGAAGTATGGAGGTACTTATTAGCCCCACATGAGCTAAACACTTCAAATTTGTTTGACTAGTCATGCAGAAAACGCCACAAAAAGAACCAGAAGAAACAGTTAACAGCCATATGAAGTGACAGAATCACACCGGCTTAGCTAGATATACTAACAAAATACAAGTACCTTTTCTTCCTCACGCTTGCGTTCCTTCTCTTTGGCCTTTTCCTGTAAGTGTGTGACATATTCTTCAAAAATTTCCTTGCTCAAACTCTCTTCCCCAATTGACCTACAAAAGAAAATTCAACAGAATGAAATGCACAGGGAGGTGGGTGTAAACAGGTTCTTAAAGATAAGTGATTAGCAGGTCATCTTCAAAGAGGGAGGTGGGAGCAAGCTACAATACCTGTATTCCTGGCTCTCCTCAAAAAGCGGTTTGCAATCCTCCCAGTTCGAAGAAGGAGTTACTTCCTATGAGAGCATAATATTAACAGGTTAGATTGGATAACCAAGAAAATATATCTATGTTTCTTTCTCTCTTCTTTTTTTGCTGATAGAAGATGATCCAAAGATTGTAAAACAGAACAGAGATCACAACATTTTCAAAATATTTTTGATATACCTTAAGAGTATACAGTAATTTAGTGAAATCATCAACAAGACGTTGCTGTTTTTTAGCTTCTTTCTCCTCCTTCTCCTTGGCTCTTTCAACTAGCTCCTCGTATAAAAGCTTCAAAGTAGAGTACAATCAAAATCTTAAGTAAGATTACCCCCTGTGTGCAGTCTTACTTGATCATTACAGTAAAGCTTCAATGAGATCACCTCAATAATGAAATAGTAATTGGGGTGCTCAAATCTAGCCATTCACTACAAGTGACTTGTAGAAAGTGACACTTGATAGTAAATGAAGCATCAGTGAAATACCCATGTAAAGCATATGAACAACATATTCAAGACCTGCATGTGTGTTTTTGTGGCCCCAAAAAGCAGGACAAAGTGTTAACCAAAAGAAAAACAAGATGAGGCCCAGGGCAATGTTAGGCCACATTCATGCATGTGAAGCGGCAGCATGCTAATAATGGAGCAGTGATTCACTCTCAAGTTATAATGGAACTTCATCAGATAGCATTAGACATGAGGTGCATTAGAAATAATTTCCTCAGAACTTGCACACATCCATGCATCAAATGCTTACTATATAACTTTTCATCATGGCAAACCACCATTGCCATCTCAACAGTCTGAGATTCTCATGGGACCATCACCAATATTAAAAAGTCAAATCACAGTTTGAAGGCAGTGCAGAGAGACTTCTGGTTTCATATAGAACAGGATGAATTCTACAGGTTTAGTGTGATTTGCTCCTTTGGATAACAAGACATTTCTCTCATTGACCATAAACCTTCAATTTACAGCTCACAAGACCTTTTTTGAAAAAACCAGGAGGAAAACAGAAAATGGAATACCTTTAGGTTGATATCTGATATTGGTGAAGAACCAATATCATCAGCAACAGCACCCTTGAAGTCTTCAAATGTCCATGTTGACACCATGGTAATCTGCACATATAAGGGTTCCAGATTTAGAAAGGGGCTGTGAAAAGAATAAGCATATTTATCTTACCTTGCCCAGCTTCATTGCATCCTTTATTCGAGTTTTATCATCATGATACTGTCAATACAAATAAGGAAGGGTTAGACACGTGCGTAGCAGGTTTCAACCGTTTCAGGCAGAAAATATAGACAAAACCAGTTATGTGAATATAAAGAAAGTAGATTAAATATACAGTCAATAATTCGAATTTATGGGTTATAACAGAAACGAAATTTCACATCAATAAAAAATATATATTGATGGAGTCGGGGCTTTTATTGCGTTTACTAGTTAAATTATATACCAGTAAGAACTGATGAACTTGGAACTATAGAATAGCACAAATAACAAGCTTAAAGCAGTGCTAAGACAAGTATTTTGCAACTGAAACTGGTGAAAAACATGAAAATTTGATGCAAGAGGGTTGCAAAATCAAGGTCAGCAATCAAAACTATCGCATGAAAAAAACACTAACATAATTTATACAATCTACATTTCTGTCCTTTCTGTTGTATTGCAGGTCAAGATTCAAATCTAACCCATGCCAATGCTTCCCACCTAAGCAATGCACAAGGAGCATATACTATATTACTTTCTATCCCAACATATAATCAACTAGAAACAAGAAGCCATGAGATGGAGGGACATGTGGACCAGTTATGCCACAAAAAAAAATTCTAAATCCAATAGAAGAAAAGATGTAAACTGAAAATAAACTGTCTGGTGTCATGATTATATTAGAACAAAACCACAAATGTTGACACACAAGATTGATGCTGTTTGATTTGGCAGAGTAATGAAACCATAAATCCTCTTACTAAAACTAATATATGCAAGTCCTGATCTTAAAAGATTGAAAAAAACAATTCATCATAGATTGCAGGAATCAGAAATGAGACAAGTTACTTGTTTCTCTAGTTCTTCAGAAACATCCTCAAAGAGGTCTTTTGGCTTTGAGCCAGACGTGTTTGTTGCAATGGCCTGATATTGAGGCAAATCCTTAACCTACGACCAAAAGAGAAAATAATGAACTAACAAGTTCAGATCCAGATATCAGGTACAATTTTCCTCTCATTTTTCATTTAATTCTTCTTCGTGTATTTCACCAAAAAAAAATGAGAATGGCACCTTCAAACAGTAGTCAAGCCAGTGAGTTTTAGCTGTAAGGAAGCCAGAAGCAACATGTTCTTCCAACAATTTGCGAAATTCATCACGATTTTTCCTTTCAGCCCGTCTCAATTGCTCCTGTTATTTAGATATAAAAAAATGAGGTAAGAAAATACAACTGAAGAAAAAAAATTACAACATAAATAAACAGGTACCTTTTGTATCTTCTTTTGTTCCTCTTCCTCTTTCTCCAAGTCACGAATATAATCCTGCCAATACCAATATCAGCATCTAGTTCACAACGATATATTGAATTACAAGTGAGAGAACATACCTGGAAAATGAGTAAACGGTCAAGTTTTTCAAGACACAAGCACCGCTCATCATCCTCTAAGCGATCTTGAATTTTCCGCCATTGGCTGTTGGCCTGAAAATGAAAGAATAATCATGCCAAGGTCCAGAAGTAAAAATACATTGCTATATTTTTTTTATGTCCCTTGAGAAATACCTTGATGAAATCACAGGACTCCAGAAATTTTCTATATTCTGCTACATTCCTCCTACGGTCCTCAGCAGCCTTCTCCTTTTCCTGCATCACAAGTCAAAACATAAACATGTAGAAAAAGGATGGTATGCATAGCACACTTAGCCATCCAAGTTTGCACCTGAAATGAGAATGACAAATTAAACACCAAGAACATAGCAGTATGACTGATGTTTCTCCCAGTGAAAAAAGATTAACACCATCCAGAAATACAAATGCCTCCTAGGGTGTGCCGCTATAACATAAGTGACGCACTGATTGAATCTTATAAGCATTGACTGAGAAATACAAGTTCTAAATGTAAAGACATTATTGGATTTCTACATCAAGAGAAACAAATGGAGTTTCTGTTATGAACATACATTCAACAGCAAATTGATACAACAAAGCTTGGGTGCTAGATTAAAAATCCACATAAAAACCCTAATGAAATTCATTTTCTCCATTTTTTGTTTCACCACACATGAAATGAGCATGAGCAATGTTCTTCCAAAATCAAAGTAAATTAATCAAAGTTTTGCTCCAAGAAACCCAGCTATCTTTTAACCAGTAATAAAAATTACAAGTATCAATCAAGTTAACCAACTACTGAAAGAAATTCTTGCTGTCAATTAAATTAGAGAAGCGTCCAAGTTTTGATGGAAGTTCTAGAAAGTTCTAGAAAGCTATTAAGTCAGGATTGGAACTGCCACACTTCAAGTTTCAAAACCTTTACTATTTGTAAGCCATGTAGATTAAATATAATATTACAAAAGACTTTCTATTCAAGAAAAAAGAAATGTATATAATATCACCTTTATGTCTAATATCACCATCAGGCAATTTCATGTCTATATAATATAGAAAAAGATTCACATGTACACTTCACCTATATGTATATAGGTGTGCTCCTGCACAAGCAAACAAAGCACAAGTATAGAAATTTTTACCTTCCTCTCAAGTTCCACAATGTAGCTGTCAAAAAGATCCTCTCGGTCTCTGGCTCTCTCAAGAGCTTTGTATCGTTCATCATTTTCAAACAGACTTATAGCTTTGCTGAAATAACAGGGCATAAATCAAAACAATAGAAAACTTCACTCTACAGAAAAATAAACTAGATATCAAACTTTTCTTAGAATAGATTGAAACTTCAACCTCCATTTCATGGATGAAGTCAATTCCTTAGACTCCTGAAAACAGATAAAACCATCAAAAAGCATTATAAAATCAGATAAGAGAGAGAAAAAGACAAGACAATTTAATTATATGCGACATACTTCCAACATCTTGGCAAACTCTTCCCGAGCCTTTTTCTGTCTTACACGCCTCTCCTCAGCTTCTAGTTTTTTCCTTTGACCTAAGTACTAAAGCAAATAAATAATCAAATTGACGTCAGAATGGCACAAAATGAAACATCAATGCACATATAGAAAAGTATATGCAATCAGAACCACTCAAATCCAGTTCAATCACAACAGATTCTCATTAATTTATGCCAAAAGTTCCATATGAGATTGATATGAGGCTTACCTCATTAAATGCTTGCTTTCGCTCACCAAGAGTTTTTAAAGCAGCATATCTTTTGTCATTTATGATCTCTCTCATCGTCTGACATCAAATTCCCACATTAATGACATTCATTTAATGAAGAAAATAGATGGCAAGAATAATAAATAACAATGATACCTGCTCCCAAGTCCAGTCAGACTGGACATTTGCGGATTCTAGAAGAGCTTTGAATGCATTTTTTGCCTCCTGAACACATCAAACATGTAAGTGAAAATAAATTAACATGATGATAATGACTATTAAATAATAAAATACTCTCCCCACAAGGGAGAGAAGATGGTTATAATGATGACTAAAAGAAGCATTACATATTGAGCATTGCAGTTTTGTTGCATTATTTTCCTTTCAGAAGCAAATTCCCACACAGAATCAACATAGTTTCCCATATATGAAAATAGTTAAGTGTGATACATTATTGAAGATTTACTTGTCAAGAAAAGTAGAGAGGGAGGCGACAGGTAAATTTTAAGTTGATACCAGCTTGTTGGCAAATACTAAAGGTTCCTCATCTGGGGTCTTCTCCTCCAAAGGACTGGCATTAGTTTTTCCCATATCCATTGATACTTTATTGAATTCCTGTGGCGATGCAATACAGAAGTCAAAAAACAACAATCTAACATTCAGATTTCATTGTGCATGCCAACTCTTGAAAATAAGTGTGTTTGCCACAGGAGGATGTTTACTCAAGCAGCCTCGTTTTAATATGAAAACCAGGACAGAGGTCCATGGATTTTCACTGCCTTTTTCCTTTCAAAACAATGACTCATAGAGGATCTAAGCATGAATATTTGTTACAAACATACAAAAGGTTTAGTGATGCTCTTTTTTCCACAACATACAATTGGCAGTGTGGTTAAAACATGCAAATCCAGCTTGCAAAATTCATAAATAGCCTGTAAAGGATTTGATTATCCATACCGCAGTATCCATCATAGATGCTCCATCTACAGAATTTGCAGCACTTTGAGATAATAGATTATCAATGCTACTCCTGCAAGCAATTGTTCAAGTATGTATTAACTTAGAAAGAAAAACAGGGTTTGATTTTAATATTTTTTGTTTCCTTGTGTTTCCAGCTTTCATTTGTGGGCTAAGAGTGCCTCTCTTGTCTTCAAGATTGAGTGTGTGACTCTTGTTATGGTGATCTGGTGTGGCTACACCATCAGAACTTGTTTGGGGGGGGGGGTTACAAAATATCATCAAAAACTAAAAAGAGAAAGAGGTCCATACAGTGATGTTGTCTTTGCATCAACTGCTGCAGCAGGAGCTCCAGTACCTACTGAAACAGCAGTGGGTAAAGGAGTCACAGAGGGTTGGACACCTACAGCACTAGCTGTGGTAGAATGTGCAACAGGAAGAGCTGGTGATCCAGAAACTACCACTGGGGGTGGATTAGCAACAGCAGCGACTGAAATTGGGCTTGAAGAGACCCCTGGTAACATAACAGAGCTAGAGCTAACTGAGATAGCTGTGGTGGATGTTTCGCTTGAGGTAACAGCAACAGCAGTTGGGACATTTGAAGCTGCATCGGTTTCTGATTGATTCCCCTGGCCAGCTGTTTGTTGCGCCTGTTCACGAGCCATCTGGAAGCAGGCGTTGAGGGGGAGAAGATCAGAAATGCCACATCAGGGAAACAAATAATAAAAATTACACAAGCATACCTTCAATTCCTCAGGAATTGACCACTTAGATTGCTTTGTAACCTTGTTGTAGTAATACCTGTAAACACCACCCCCTAGATTCAATCGTGATCTTGTTGAAAAAAGAAAGAAGAGATACTAGAAAGCACTCCCAAAAACTCTTAGGTGTACAAAAATAAAATAATAATGGAATCGAAACATACTTCTTCCCCTCTTGAGTTGTGAATTCCTTCCAAACAGTCGATGCATCAGCCCTCTGTTAAAATGGCAGCAATTATCAGATGAAGAAGCAAGATCCGTTTCAGAAAATATAAGGAAAGAACAGTTGATACCACAAATATAAAAACACTTAACAGTTACAAAGAAAGGTAACTGTGCATAAGAATGATGAAACTGAGGATAAAAAGGGGGAAAATAACATGTACTTATGGCTTGAAGATAAAGTATAACTCTACAAGAAAAGCAATAATACAGCAGTAAGTGAAAGCAACAAAATCATAAACAACAAGAATAGAATTAAGCATAACATGGACAAAGAAATGGGCAATGGAAAAAAAAAACCTGTAATTCAATGTAAACAATGAAAAGTAACATTTTCTGAATTATGTTGCTCAAGGAAAGTTTAGCATGCCACCACCTTCAGTGATAGTTTGTGTATTTTTTCCATTCAGAACTCACTCAAAATTGCATCCAGTCAATATTCAGTTCCTGATTTTTAATAAATAATCATCACAATGTGAAATTATAACTCCCAATGTGCAACATTTGCTTGTACATATCTACACTAGCATAAGGACTCGCTAGCTATAAAAACAACCAGATCTTAGAAATTTCACATGACATGACCAAAAAGGGCCCATTTCTAGTACAATCCAGATGGTTTAACCCAGTACCAACAGTTTCTAGGAGAGTTGGAAGTGCAAAACTTCCTCCTAAGTGGCGATTTTTTATTCAAACCCTCACTTGGAAGAATTATATAGGTTTGGCAAAAGGAAAAAAACAAAAATCAATTAAAAAAGTTATTACTTCATTCAGTCATAGTAACATGTCTTGATTGAAAGACCTCACCTTTGTGAAGAGGATAATGTTATAAAGTTAAGTGATTGCATCTACATGTAAAAACAGTGAGTATTTCGAAATTAGATAAAAAGAGGAAAAGTCTCATGAAGCCATAAAGTAGAACTTCAGCACATCCAGATTAACTCAAATTAAACAATTTCACAAGCTTCTAGATGCAACATCATTTTTTGAGAACAAGATACAATCCAATGTCCAGAAACTAGTATCCATTATCATTACAATAAAGGAAACTGAGGGTGTTGAAGAATCAGAGCAAGAAGGATCCAACCAAGAACAATACTTTTTCCACGGTATCTAGGCCAGCCAAGACTCTAAACTTTCTGTTAAGAAAGGCACCAAGCAGTGTATACCACGTCAGCAACTACAACCAGAGATGTGAACATGAGATGCAAACATGCCCGACATACAACATCACAAACAGGCTGTTCCTTCAAGACCTTTGTGTGAACACTTTTATTTCTCATAGGCGCAATCAGACTTCTTAGGTATCATAAAGCTTCATCTTTGCAAAAGCTATACTCATACAACAATTTCCCTTATAATTAGATCAACACTTTTTCACTATTCACAAGGGCCTTCTTTAGGAGGGCGGTAGACTAAACTAGGCATCCCTTTTGATGCCAATAAAAAACCCCTTTAAAACACAAAATAACCTTTAAATTATCTACAGAAGTGAAATACATAATTAAGAGGAAACACTGCAAAGCCAAGCATTTTATACCTCTGAAAGAGGAGAGAAATATTCGGAAATGAAAGCCATTGAAAGCCGTACAAGGAAAAACAATGCATACAAGTTTTGAAAACAAAAAACACTAGGACCTAAAATAAACAGCATAATGACTAAAGAGAAACAAAAGGTGGCGTGAGAATAATGGCAAAACAGCCAGCTAAGTAGACTATAATTATCTTTCAGACTTACACAGATCACTAGCCTGTAGGAGCATGAAACTATGACAAATGAGATTCGTGAATAAAGAAATAGATAGATGCTATTTGAGATGAGTAACCATTCTCATTCTAAACTTTTGAGAAAAATGAAACAGTTAAAGCCCAAAGTTAGTTATGCACACCACCAACAACAAGTTCTGCGTAAAATTTTGCCCAATGACAAGTAGAATGGAAATAACAAAATACTGCCTGCCTTGAGAAATTGAAATCCAGTCTTGAAAGTCACCATATCGAGCAGTCATTAAATTTCTCCAGACATGCCACGAAATCTACAGACAAGTACAGAGACATGCAAAGAAAAAGAGATCTCGAAAAAAATAATTTTAATCAACTTAGGGGCAGCTACAATTGCAACATCTATCCAAGGAACAATCTTTGCATGTATATTAAACAATATCAAAGGCCCATACAGTAGATAACAGAGGCAACATTTTTAATTTATGCAGATTATAGCCACTCAGGAATACAGCTCACCTCAATTGGTGTCATCAATTCAAAGGGCTTATCCCAACTAGATTGTTTTGTTCTCCTGTTGTAATAATACCTGGCAAAATATATTCATTAGTTATTAGTTATCAAATTGTACAAGAAGGAACAGGAACATCCTATTGCATGGGAAAGATTTGTTAGACCATAATAATTATTTGGGTTGTTTTAACTTGTATGCAAGTGGCATGTACCTAACATCTGAAATACTGTAAGAAACCATAACCTATTAAGAAGAAAGCATTTTTCGAGGCCAGCCCTTTGAATACCAGAGCAGGAGATAAGAAGTAATGATGTGGTAAAAACAAAAACATACCTCCTCCCATCAGACGCTGTATGTTCCTGCCAATCACTCAAAGACTGTTGACTATTGCTAGAAACAGCTACTGTCTGAAATTCAATATAAACAGTTAAGCATGGCTAACCAAATCCTGAGAAACAGTAGCTGTGTGGGTAAAAGATAATTTATGAAGCAAATAACTTAGCACAGATCTGTAGACGATATAGATGCATTTTTCCATTGAAAAAATATATATATCTCTCAATATAAGGAAAAAACAACTCAAAATCCACTGGAGGAATAAAGTCTTACAAAAGTTTACTTGCTGAGATACAATTAAAATCAGCTTACTCTACTTCTATAAATTTCCACATTCAAAATCAGAGTACATAGCAATTTGATCATACCTATGATACCATACCTGAGGAGCATGCATGTCATTATGTTGAAAAGATTAACATCCAGGGAAGCTCATAAAATATGGAACAAGTTCAAAGTAATGTCATTTTCAAAAATTTCTACCATCATTAACAACAAACTGTCATCTTATCCAAATTTATTTGACCATGCAATTTATTAAAAACAAGGTTCTTAAATATGCATCAAGTTACATGAATAAGAATCTTTGAGGAATCATCAACAGCACTTCATAAAGAGTTTTTAGAAGATGAAGCATGAATAATGAAATAAATATGAAAGAGAGAGGGGTAGAGAGAGAGAGAGGAAGCTTACTGAATCTGAGGAAGAAGATATAGAAGGCTGGGCAACAGCGGGCTGGACTGGGGGAACAAGTGAAGCACCATGACTTCCAGAGGACAACCAAGGTTGTCCCCCCATGGGTACAACATGTGCATGCATTTGAGACATTGGTGGGAACTGGGGCATTGCACTGGCACTGTTTTGTGTAAGGCCAAAAGAAGATGGTGCAAACTGAAACGATGCAAAACTTCAGAAGCAAGTCAAAAAGACATCCCATGAAATAAGCCAATAAACAAAGAGAAGAAACCTGTTGATGAGTTCTTACAGCATATGGTGAGGAATTAGGAACTCCAGAGGTGCCAACCACATGCATGTGATTACTTAATGGAGGGGCATTTTGCTGGGGCTGTGATGATGTCAGAGGCCTGTTTAATTGACCATAAGGCATTGATAAAGCCTGTGCCGGAGGTGCCCCGGGCTGATTTGGCCATGGCGGTAACTGCTGGATAGGTTGAGAAAACTGCAGGTGCTGACTTTGAGCAGCTGGCATCCCAACATGTGAAGAAGGTATACCTTGTCCAACTGGCCGAAACTGTTGGGAAGCCACCTGAATGAATGGCTGCCCTTGCTGTGCCGGAACCATTGGTCGAAACTACAAGGATTTATCCATAATAACCATAAAAATCAGATAATACTACCAATAATAAAACTCACCAAACACAAGGAGAAAAAATTAATTGCACAGAAAAGGGTGAACTAAAAGATCCAGCAATAGTAGGCTGGAGCACCAAGACACACGTCCACAGGTGGGGAGAGGGGAAAAACTTGAATATCTTGTTTCACATACAACTTCACAGCTAAGGGCCACTTGCGAAAAATATCCAAACATTAATCGTTTCCAATTATATAAACAAGCTCTAATGATAGTCCACTGCTAAACAAATGACCTTTAGAGTCGGCCAAACCAAACCCAGCTTAAATTTTTCAAAATCTTGCACAATATGTATTATTAGTGCAATATGGTCCACACAAAAACAAGCAGCCTATTAAAAAGCCATCTTAAAAAAAAAAGTTGAATGAGATTTTTTACAGCTACCTGTCCACCAGAAGATTGAGGATTACTGGCCATTCCAGCACAAACGCAAACCTTATCAACGGCTGCATAAATTATAATGATACAATCAATAACCACTCATTAGAGACAGAAATCGGTAGCTAAAAAATTGCAGCCACAAAAAAAGCAAAAGAATCATAAGCTAATGTTCCAAAAAAAATCAATAACACCAATTAACTGTCTGCGCCCTAAGAAATCAAAACCTAGATAATACGAGAGCATACTTTTTGTTACGTAACCGAATGTGAATCGAGAACCGCTTGGAAATGCGAAGGAAAAATTATTATTCTAGCAACCAAACAAGAGGTGGTTACGTACATTATTTCGAGTTTTGCAATTTTCGTTATCAGTTTTCCAAGGAAGCAAGCAGAGTAAGCAGGTACAAGAAGGAAATCGCACGAAGTGGAGAAGAAAGAAGAGAAAGAAGCATTACTTGCAGTTGGCAGAGAAGAATTCAAGAGAGAAATCGAAAAATTTCAGATCCCTCAACGCGCGAGTCTCAGTGCTAGGGTTTAAGAGGAAAATAGGAGCGCAGATGATTTTGATTTGGTTGAGATGGTTAAAATCAAGGAGGCATGTGTTTTTTTCCGGTGGTAGTTCGTGTTTCCCTGATCTACCCCTGCATTTGGCTGATTTTGCAATCATCAACCGCCACGGGGTTTAACGAATTTTTAGTGCATAATTTTTAAATTATTTTTTTCACAAAAAATACTAAATTTATGTTTTTAATTATTTTCAGGGGTTTTAATATATTGATATAAAATATAAAAAAATGATTTAAATTTATTTTTAATTAAAAATATTTTTTAAAAAAAATATTATACACTACTTTTTATTTGGTTAACAATTAAATTTGTGTTTGCTGTGAAATACAACCTTAACACCACAAAATTAAAATATCAAAAGCATTATTTTCATGTTACTTTTAGAAATCCATCAATTATTTTTTAAAAAAAAAAATATTTTAATATATATTAAAATGTTTTTTATTTTTATATCAATCTATTAAAATTATTAAAAACACTAAAAAACATTAAAATTAATATTTTAAAAAATATTAAAAATTAAAAACTACCTCACTCCTTGACAAGTCTTTAACAAACCCCTTATCCACAAACTATTTTCGTTTTTGCCGACATACATGTCGAGTTAACTCTAGACAGTAGCATCTGGTCAAGGAGATTTTTTTTATTTTATTTTTTGAACTTAAAATTTAGAGTTAATAATCAAATGAATTTTTAAATTTTTAGGAATTATTAATTTCTTAACATAACATGTTAATGCGAGAGCTGTATCCTTTGAAGAAAAAATATTTGACTTTTATTGACGCGTCAATTATACCAAAAATATCCTTATGCTTACTGTAAAAAAAAATATGCACCATATCAAATTGAACTATATAATAATTTTCTATCACTAACACCCATTAACAGTATAGCCGTACGAGAATGATCATCTGAGTTCGGGACAGTTATCTAGGTGTGTGCTGGGTTATGCATAAAAGTGTATGTTTGTATAAATATTTTTCAATTAAAAATAGTTTTTATATATATTCTTATGTCATCATATAAAAATTATAAAAAAAATATTTTAAAAAATATTATTTTAATATTTTTTCCATATAAAAAATACTTAAAAAAATAAATAGAATTGCAAAAATAAACACACCTAGATAGCATGGAAAATTATACAGCAGTCCAACTGTTAGTGAAACACTGTAATTTGTTGTTGTCATCCATATATGCTGCAGAGGATTTGAAAAGTACAAATATATCCATTTACAATTTATAATGATTAATACATTTTTACACATGCTTTCACGTGTATCTAATTACATATCTACAATCCCAACACATATTCATTTGAAATTCTTAATTACCCTTGAATTTTTATTTAAAAAACACTACAAATTCTATCGCATGATTTTATATTTTTATTTAGAAATGACACAATTAAAAAATAATAAAAATATAAATGAAGTGTAATCCAATCTCTATATATTAAAAGTAAACTCTCTTTTTTTCTTTTTTTTTTTATTTACGTGGGATGTCCGGGCCAGCTTACGCGCACCATGACTAATCCCCACGGCCCACTGAACATCCTGCAAGTCCAGTGAGCAGATAAGGCATCGCGGGGTGACAAGCGTACATGGTGAGGTTCGAACCCAGATGCGGAGAAAGGGAACAAACCTCTCCCACCACTAGATCAGAACCTCATTTGCAAGATACAAATACACATCTTGAGAAATCTTGAAATGGGTCGATACAAATACACATCTTAAATGAAATTCTACGTACAATCTTTTATTTGATCCTATCAAAAATAATTGAGAATAGAGATAATGTACAAAATTTGATTCATAATAATGTCTCATGTAGTTAATTACTAATTAATCATTATAATTAAATCTGCACATGAAAAATTGCTGGAGAAATATGATGACTGAACATATGATCAATTTAGACCAAATAAACAATCCTGCTGGAGGATCTCTGATTACGTGAGTGTTTGACATTATTACACATAGTAATTTTTAATTAAAAATATATTAAAATAATAATTTTTATTTTTAATACCAACATATTAATTATTAAAAAAACCTAAGAATAAAATCAATTTAAAAGGCATCTTATAAAAACTTTTATAACTCAAGAACAAATATTCACCTGACCCGATATTCCCAATTAGCATATACAAACCAGGAGTTACAAGTTACAACATTAAAATGAAAATTACAAATCATAATCTTCTTGAAATGGCCATCTTCACCATTGCCACCATATAATTACATGGAAAACACGGACAAATAGCAAAAACCAAGTCGCCGATCGACCAGTTCTTCTCCCAAAAAATAGAGTAACTCGTCAGAATAGCTGACCAAGCACATGGAAGTGGAACCCGTCAAGATTCACGAATGGTGCCATTTCTCTCTCTCGTATGGAACCTGAGAAACCCTAACCAAGTTATCGTCACGGACACTACACGATTGCTTGCATGATGAGAAGACAGATATTGATCTTTTTCTCCATCCAGACCCAAAATCTTTTCCAATAGGCTTATCTTTCTTGGTGCACTCTTTATAAGCTGCCAAGAAAGGGTCGTCATCAATATCCTTCCTGAGGCCTCTTCTTGAAGAACTTCTCAAAGGAGCACCCGGAGCCTGGAACGTGCATGGAGGAAGAGGGATTATGATATCGTGAGTTGAAATCCTGGAACTTTCAACCGGACATGGAGGGGGTTGTAGCTTTACCACGGATGTTTCTCTACCAAGATATTCGTGATGGTTAGTTACCTTGGACTCTCCGGGCTTTTTCTCCCATGAGAAGGGCACGTTTCCTTTTTAGTGAATCTTGCTTTGCTTCATGCTCATACCTAATGCTATGCCACCTAATCTCGAGATTTTGGAGTTGGTCTGTTCCTCATACGCTTACAAAGGCCGATCAAGGTTGATGCCACGCGAATAAAACGTGAAGAAGAAAGAAGAAAGAGATACGAGGAGCCAAGAAGGCGTATACGTGGAGGTACAAGGCCATGGTTAGTACCTTTTTAAACAAATTGTAAGAGTAGAGACAATTGAAGATGGCTAAAAATGACTAAGTCGTTAGAGGTCTGCATCATAAGAGTTTGTTGAGAGCTTTGAAAAATGGTTCAAGGCACAGAGACAAATCAGAATTACTAAGAAACTACAAGCACAGATACTCGAGATTTATAAATTTTCCTTGCCGTCCAACTCTCAAACACTCAAGTTTAATTAAATACGCAATCTTATCAGTTATCTGATATTTTTTTTATTTTTTATTTTAAATTCTTAAAAACAAATCGGTAGCAATTGGTTAAAGTCTTGGAATATAAATAACGGAAAATGAAGATATATCAAGTTTTGAAAATACAAAAATTTATTTTTAATAAATTTATGTCAGTGTTTCGTTTCTTCAACTAAATTAACATTTTTATTATCATTTTTATATTTGTGCTTTTTATTTTTGATACATTAACCCAACTCAATGCTTAAATTTTGTTCACCTTTTCTTGGATTTTATATAAATAAATAAAAAGTCCGATGCAAAAATAAATTTCTTGCACAAAGAAGCGTGATTTTTAACGTATTTATCTAATTTTCTATTGAGAAATAAGTGGTTGGCTGACTCCATTTGTATGAAACCATTAATTAAGTATTACTTTAAAATGTGCGTGGGTTTTTTATTGTACAAGATTTCATTGTCCATCCCCTCACACAATATAACTATGGATAGGTTGTCCAAAATCTTGTATTTTTTTTATAATTTAATTCCAATTGATTTTGATTTTTTGTAAAAAATTAAAATTAAAAGAAAAGAAGCTAAAATAAAAGGGACATAAAATATAAGTGGTAGGCCATTAATTTTGTAAGGGATATACTTTGATCCCTGAAATTTAAAAATCACGCAAATTATACAATTTCATTTCAATATTTTTTTCAATCCAATCTTGGTGCAAAAATTTATTTTTTTGTTATTTTTTAATCTTTGACTGAGAGGGGAAAGACATACAAAGGTTATCGAATTTCAACGGTAAAGAGAAAAAAATATTATTGACACCAATATAAACCACAAAATCAAATGATATCTATCTCAAATGATTTTATTTAAAAAGAAGAGTTCATAATAAATGTTTTTTTTACTTTTAATATTCATAAAAAAACATATATGAGCTCTAATTGATATTTTAATTTGGATCAATTTTGATTTTTGAGCAATTTTTTTAGATGTTTTAAAGCCATAAATAGATTTATCATGATTTATATGATATTTTAAAAAATAAATAGATTGAAAAATAAATTTTTTAATAAAAATAACTTAAACTTCAATTTTCCAGCTGCTAAATTTGAGCAAATAAGAACAAAGTGTTATTTAATTATTATTTTTTTAAAGGATAAAAAAGATATTGTCCTTTCCAATTGCAAACAAAAAAATTAAGATTACAATCATGCGGCTCTGCTAAGGCAAACCCATGCTTCAATCCTAACAAAATGGATTAAATAAACTTAGCTGGCTTACTAGGCGTTGTAGTGCCTAATCTTTGCTCTATTTTTTTATTAATTTTTTTTTATGATCATTTATTTATCTTTTAAAAATTTATGTTTGAATTAGTATATATTTTTTATTTTATTTTATTTACAAAGCTTTTTTTAAATGATAATTATTTTTTTAGTTATACATTTAAATATGAGGAGTTTTTTTTATTCATCTGTATTATTTTTTTTATCTTCTTTTTGGATGTACTTTATTTTTAAAAATAAAAAAAATTCAGATAATATTTTTAATATGTTCAATATCACAATTTTTTTTTAATTTTATTTAATCAATTTAATTTATATCTCTATTTATATTATCTTTTGCTTAAATAAAAAAAATTATTTAAATAAATAAATTTAGCAAATACAACAGCATGAATGTCTCATTTTTTCAAATTAAATATATCAATCTATATTTTTTTATAATTTTTTAAGTTTTATTTTTAGATATTAGTAATGATTTTTTATTTATTTATTAACAAATACAATTATCAATTTATTTAATTAT